TACTCCGACGCCCCCAAAAAAGTTATCTTACTGGTGGTATTGTACGATGAACAGGCAAAATATAAGTGACAAAAAAAGTGAAGTTCACCGGTACACCCACGTTACAAGTGAAGTCATGTATCCAGTGATTCCAATAGACAAGACGCGCCGCTTTCACTTCATAATCGAATTATCAGTTACGTGTTACACGATGAACTTCACAGGTAAATTTGTTCCTTTCTAAGCATTTGTACTCACATTTTGATAACCAATTTAGGATAACTTTTTTATCTTAAAGTATGTGTTGGAGTATTGAAATTCTGTGTTTAGGGTAGGCGGTTACAACAGGTTTCATATCATTTAAACAAGGGTATTGTTTTATAGAGTTATATTTCTGTTGTGGAAGGATGTCCACTGAGTTTAACACTCGACAAATCCTCAGATCCAACCCAATGTGGCCCGTATCGACTAGGGTACTTCAAACCCAATCTTAAATGACTGTTACCAATGGCTTCTACTCCGTTTTTGCATTTCATTCACGTGACGGAATGGTCAGCATTAAAGGACAGAGGTTTTGACTAGAACAAATAACGAGGTGTTATTGGGCAATACAAAGTTATCCTAAATTGGTGAGTGCAACGTTTGCTCCCTTCGGTAGGCCTTGCATTCTGAAGCTTACGAAGAAAGTGTTATCGACGCTAGACTTAGCAAAGCACGGTCATTGTTCACTTGCTATCCAAGGCTTGATAAATCTCATCCAAAACTCTATTGTTGCACCAATAAATCTCATCCAAAATTGTGGTAGCTATTGTTGCACCAATATTCTCTCACTAGTACACCAAAAAAATAATATGAATATTATTCAAAGTAGAATCCTATTATTATTCTGCGGGGTTGCTTCAAGGAAACGAACTTCAATTAGGAGATCGGAATAGTCATATTTGGGGCCATTCCTCGTCATTCTTGCGTTTTCCATTGCAAGGTTAATCAAAATATATGAATCGTTATCCCGGCGAGCAACATTGCCACAAAGAGTTAATACTAGTCACTAAATACTCACAGCTACTGTACAGGTAGTTCACACTTCACTGTCAGTATAAAATCCAATTAATCTTTTGCGCATTCTTCCAGAGGTCACTTCAAATGGCATTGCTGGTACCGGTAGTGGGGCTGCCGATGCGGTGCACACAATTCACAAAATAATAACAGTACGCGTGGTATCAATGAGATAAATACTAATTGTTCTAGTATGTGTTGTTTCCCTCGCCAATGCCAATACGGTACAAACAACCAAATGGGGGAGTGACTACTCCCTGCAAACATGCCTTTTCGTCTCGGTTCGCCAAGGGTCGGCACCCGGTGGCTTCAGTTGAGGACCACCTGTGTCATGGCGGGACTTGGATTAAGTCGCCCACCACAACACCCCCCCAAGCCATGTCCAGCAGGACACACATGGTTCGCCCTCTCTCGCTCCATCGCCTTCGCTCGCTGTCTTCACGCCTTCAACGTAGTTCTTCACCACAGCCAAGCATTCATGCATGAGCTCTGCAGCGGCTCCCATGAGGACTCGATATCTTCAAAACCTTCCCAAAGCACTTCCATCATGAAGTCGTTCATATCCGGGACAAACTTGTGTCCCGCGTTGGACTTGACTTTCAGCATGATCCCTTGCTCAGAAGTGTGTTCGAGGATCTACTCGGTCACTTCATAGTTGTCTTCGGCGTAGAGCTTGACTCTTGATGCGTGTGCTTCCCGCAGTTCATGGGTCACCAAGTGCTTCAAAAGGACGGAAAATTCACCCACTTCCTTAATTGGGTTACGAGCTAGCGTTCGTTGACGCGGGACCAGAGCGCAGAGTCGCCTTCGTGGACATTGCACTGTTCGTATTTCTCGGTCGCCTTCATTGCCTTCGCCGCGCGCATCGCATTCTTGTCTACGACTTGTTTATGCATGCCTGGCAGGCTAGCACGCAGCTTGTCCATTCCAGTCGCTCTCTCGGAGTTCCTTGTTCATGCCCACCACGACGACATCCAGGGGAGTCGCCGGGTTTAAAGCCGTAAACAACTCCATCGGCGACTTGCTCCCCAATGATGCGGCAGGTTGGTTTGGACCACCGGCAATAGGTAGTCCAATTCTTGTTCGGCTAGCTGGTACTCTCGCAGCATGACCCGCGTCACTTGGAGGATGTCGTGGTTCATCAGCTCAACCGTTCCATTGCGCTAGGGGCAGTAGGCCAAGGTTAGGTCATGATGGACCTTGAACTTGTGGGCTAACGCCTTCATGGCCACGTTTTGAAATGGGTTCCCTGGTCGCTGACCCAGACTCGTGGCATTCCGAACCGCTTCGTCCAGTCGACTAGGGCATCCACACATACTTTGCGCGTTGGGCCATCGCATGCAATGAGCTCGCAGTAGTGGGTAAGATCGTCTTTGAGTACCAGCACATACTTCGCTCCGCTGAATGCTTCGCCCATGTAGAGGTAGTCGAAGTGGATTCCTTCGTTGCGCTCTTTCGCGTGCCATCTCGAAGCATACGGTCGATGGACCACCCTTCCCCCTTTTACATGAGGGCACAACAAGCAGCCACGGAGGAATTCACTGGCCCTGTCGGCCAAGCGGTCGACATAGAACAGGCGGCGGATAGTAGCCACCAGTGCTGCATGACCACGATGCCCGGCGCTGCCGTAGTGGGCAACGACCATGATCCGCTGGATCAGGTCATTCGCCGCACTCGGAATCCATAGCCGCTCGTCCACTTGCCACAGTCCGTCCACCACGGTAGTTCGCTTTGGCTTGTCTTTGTCATGCTGGTCTTGTGCGTGACGGATGTCCATCATGCATGGCCACACAAAGTCCTTGTCCAGCGGCCGCAGTTTTGGTTGTGCCAGTGGAGGGACTTTGCCGCCTTTGACTTTGACCAGCCATGGCCCTGACGTATTTTGACCCGCTTGGTCGCCAGACTTGGTGTCGGCTGACCCCAACGCCTCATCAAGGTTGTGGATGCCGTCGATGTGCATGATTTCATAACGATAGCCTCCAATAATGGCAGCCCATCGCATGAGTTTGCCGCGTGTGTGAGCCTTCCATTCTTCGCCCGGGGCAAAGACATGGATGAGGTTCTTGTGGTCATAGTACATCTTAACCACGTCACGCCTACTGGGCGCCCGCAAACATCCCCAACTGACATAGAGCAGTTCGTGACGTTGTTCTTGGACTGGGCTGTCATCATCGAAACCCACCACTTGAGTTACCACAATCGACCATCCATAATCGCTCGCATTCGTGAACAAACACATCGTGGCGTCATCACGCGGGTGAGACACGCCCATCGTTTTCTTGCCTCGCAGGTTCTGGAGGATTGTAGCTTGGAATGGCATTATCCCCGCCTTCAGCTCGGTTAGTGAGTTGACAACGCGGTAGTCGTTGGTTAGCCGATAGTTCTTGAACACATCACCGTCGCTCCATTTGTCGGCCGATTTCAATGACTTACGCCCATCTGGCTTGAGAACTGAGTTCACCGGGCTACACCACGCACTTCGCTGGTTGCTCTTCATCACGCCTGCATTGAGTAGTTCTTGCGCAAACAACTTGAGGAACCTCTCCTCCAGGAGGTTGTGCTGCCTTCCTTTGCATCGGTAAGGAACACACCCATCCTTCGGGGTCACCTTCAACGGCTTCACCTTCGCCGGTGGGTCTGCCCCGTTGAACTTGATTCGCCAGATGTCATGCTTGCTGAGCACATCCCACAAGTACTTTACATGTTCCATTGGAAATCCGTTATCGACGGCGCCGTCGATCATGCCTTGCAGGGCTTCCTCGACTTCATTCGTGGCAACAGGTAGCACCGCCTTCATGGTCGCGGCTCTGACGGCCGATCGTTGGGGCAACTCTACGCAATCGCCACCAACTTCTTCCAGGTTATCGCCGTCCTCATCCACTTGTAGGCGGTCGATGTCAATACCAATGGTCTTGATGGTGTCATCTGAGACGAGGAATTCGTCTCCATCGTTGACCACATAGCAGTGGCGCTTGCCTGCCACCTTGACTGGTCCAGAGGCCGTCTGCATTGTTAGCGTAAAGTCTACGTAGGAGATCGCTAACTACATCTGATTGCATGCTGTTCCTACAAATGGCGCAGCCAACTGGACAACTTGAAGTTGTGGCTGTAACGGTTGAAGTTCATCCACCATGGCTTGTGGCACAATGTTTTGGTCTGCGCCGGTGTCCGGGCAGTAGGGAACTTCCAGCATACTGTTTAGCCGCACCCAACGTCCATCATCCTCCTTGCTGGGCGGTGGGGGTTTCTTCATTCGCTTTGCTTGCATATTCGCTTTGCGTTCCCGCGTTTTGAACCGCTTGACGGCGTTCTTGCCCTTCTTCCAGCTTGTATCGCCGCTATCCCCGTCTTTTTTGTTGGGACATTCCCGGGCCATATGTCCTGGCTGCTGGCAGACAAAGCAGAGTATGCCGCGGTCATCCCGGCCGGGTGCAAATCGAGGGCGTGCTTCATCACGCACAGCTTGGGCATAGCGGTCGTCGTGTCTTGGGCGCGAGTTCGCTTGCGGTCCGTACTTTGTGGCCGGTGGGACCCCCGTTCGCTTTTGCGTCGACGGGGACCACACCGCCGCACTTCGTTCCGGCTTGATATATCCACCTGGTGGACGTGGGTAATTTCCTCGTAATTCCCGCTGATCTCGAACAGCTTGGTTGGCCTTCTTCGCATGTTTCATAATGCGGCGCCCTTGGTCGTCTTCTTCACGGCCACGCTTTGAACCATAGCTGTTCCATTGCTGATTGACCATGTACGCATCATGCGTTCGGTCAAGTTGCTCGCGTAGGATATCCGCAAAGGCCACCAGGTCGTTCGCCGGCACGGTCTTCATTTGCTCTTCCACTCTGTCGCGTAGGTAGGGTGGTGTGACACGCGCTGCTACCACCTTCACGAACGTTCGCAGCATGGTCGAGTCTTTGAGTTGTTAACGTAAGCCGTTCTCGTCGATCACATCATCAGCTCGCTCCATACATGACACCAGGCGACTGGGCACGTCTCCATGGGGGTCGACACTCAGCGCCTGACAGTATGTTTGCATGTCTGACTTGGTGGGTGTCCACTTGGTCGCTGGTTGCAAGACGATTTCCATAATGTGGTCGCGGTAGTCGTCCTCAATGCGTTGTTCCACAGGCACTCGCCAAACATAGGTGCATGTAGCCTTCAGGAAGCTGCGGTCAGTGGATGGGATCCACCCCACAGCGCTCCATCGCCACTTGCCACCCATGCGTTGCGCATTCGCCCGTAGCTTGTCCTCATATGTCTCCCGCTTCTTCACCCAACTCACCAGGAAAGTTCTGTCCATACAGGTGATCCGGGGGAGTTGAACATCTGTCACCACCAAGGAAGGTCCACTGGAGTTGAAGTTAGGCCCCCATCCTCCGCTGCTTGGCGTCGGTGGTCCGCTCGAAAGAGGTCCCCATCCTGAGCTGCTTGGTAGGGTGGTGTCCAGCATCCGTCTATCATGGGCCGCACACGCCATTTTGGCATGGTCGACACATTTTGCCTAAGGGGATGATTGGCTTTGTTGATCAGCCGCCGCTCAGCTTGCTTACGTTGTTCTTCTTGGTATTCCTTTTCTTCTTCTTCGCTGTCAGGAGTACTGTCCGGTCGATTTCGTCGTTCCGCACGTAGCTTAGCTCGAGCTTCCGCCTTTTCGTCCGCTCGCTTCTCGGCATCGGACTTCTCTGGCGGCGGGTTGTCTTCATCAGCATTGGCGCCTTCGATTGGAGGTCGTGGTAGTTGTTCCCAGTTCGGTCCCATGGTTTGACCGCCATATCGTCGCCGCGATTCGATCCAGGTCATGGACGCCGCTCGCGCGCTACCCGTGGCCTTGTTCGCCTTGGCCAACTCTTCCATCGTCTTCCAGACTTCTTCGCTTTTGGACTTTTCCCCAGTTGGCAGCACACCCGTGGTCCCTCCAACAACCGGGACCAACGGTGGCTCCGTCACTGATACTTCCTCCTCAATTCGCTGCTCGCAGCTGCTGGCGACGTTGCCGTGGCCTTCGGCTTCTAGGCGCGATCTTTTGAGTTCTTCGTCATTGCTCTCAGTTCCGTAGGTCACTGGAACTAAAGTATACTTTGTGTTGTTTTCCACACCAGTTCTAACACAATCAACCAAATGGGGGAGTGCCGACTCCCTGCAAACCGCACACTTGATTGACTTGTTGTTACCACGGCGTTGCAGAACCAAGAGTGAGATTCCGGTAGTTGGCTGGGACAGGTGTTCTGTTTTCTACGTCCTAGTACTACAAGCACTGCAACCAATAATACTATGCCTTTTCGTGTCGGCTCGCCAAGGGTCGGCACCCGGTGGCCTCGGTTGACGACCACCTGTATCATGGCGGGACTTGGATTAAGTCGCCCACCATAACATAGTATTAATAATATACTTCGAAGTATAATGCAACACATGCAACCATTAACAGCGTTCAAAGTATCCAAATCACATATACCTGTAAACACCATAGTGTGGTGTACATACTAAGTTGACATCGCTGGGAATCGAATCCAGGTCTCCTGCAAGCAGGCGCGCTTCCATTGCGCCACAACGTCGTACAGTATTCGTGAACATCTTTCTATCGCGTCATCGTTCTTGTCATCCTTCTGCAGCATACCGGTGTTTCATGGGCTCTAGAGTAGCTTGACTAACACGACACTGCAGACTTACCACATCGGTCGATACACAGGATTCGTGCCGGATCGGCAGCTGGTCCGCGGCAGGTCGATGGTTGGTAGATAGCACAGCTAACGTTATGACACATGTGAGCACTATGACTCATCATAGTATTATGATCAAACGCATTCGCTGCACCCATCTGTCTTGTGCAGGATGCCAGCGCCTCTTCGCTCCAGGGATACTCAATATTGCATTACTATATGTATTGTAGCAATAACAATACGGTGCATATTATATTGTTCTTGAGATCTCATATATAGTTAATTATGGGTTTCAAAAGGACAATATCAATATTTATAACAATATATTATGTGGTATATTGTTAATATAATGCACAATTATACTATACAATATTACCCTTAAAAAGTCGATTGCATGTTCCAGCTACTATATGTGAGATTGCTTGGCACAGGCGCCTACACTACACGAAATGAAGCCGTCACAAGGGCGGCAGAGCCCACAATGTTGTGACATCGCAGTGCATCCTACAGTATTTGCACTTCTTGTATTCACATTATGTGGAGCAACGGTCGCCAGCTCGGACAAGCAAAATACACATGTTGACATTGGAAACCTTTCGTGGTGTTACAAAAGCCGCTTGCCGTGGTTCTACAGGTAGAATTTATTTCGTTCGTTTTTGTACAAGATGTTTCTTCAACAGCCACCTTTGATAAAACAAACCAAATCAATTATAGAATTGATGCGAACTTTTTTACTTTTGGCCCAGATTCCCATACTTACACCTTTCAAATGCCCTTCGACATTTTGGATCAGAAATCGCCGAATTTAATGACGTGTTTTCAGAAATGACGACCAAAGAGTCAAGATTGTCATGTATGAAGGAAAAGGGTTAGTAGACAACATTTCAACAATCGGCGACGAGGTTGTGGAAGTGACGCAGGCATGGTGTCATTTATAATACGAATGTCAAGTCATTTGGTCGTGTAGGAGAAACGGCACTTCCACTTAAATGCTATACTTAAACCAAGTAGAAATATCACTGATCTGCCATGTGTTTGTTTCGAAACGCTTCTTTCACACACGAGTACTGTACACATACAAGTAACCCGATATATTTCGTCCAGAGCAGTCATAAAACTCAGTTTTCAACAGGAAAACACAATAACTAAGACGCAACTATTCTATTCGGTTAAATATTGTTGTTGTGACATGTGATCAAAGGAATACGAAATTCTCTATCATCATGATATCTCACCTATTGCAATTCACTAACCAGCCATATTATGTCCCGTGTAGTCAGATAACACTACTTTCAATACGCAAATACAAAGGCAACGACACAAGTATTCCATTGGTTATATATTGGTGTATAATTAGACTGTTGTGGCCCCACAATTCTGGCATTGCGTCATTCGAGAATTCTGTTGGAGGATGCAAGGTACGTTCATGCCATGCATGTTCTTCTCGGTGTTCATGTCCATGCTCTGCTCTATGTTTATGTCCATGCATGTTCTTCTCGGTGTTAGGATAAAATGGCAATCTGAGTGGGTCTAAAGTGGCGGACTTACGAAATGCACAGCAGCACACACGGGGAGGCTTTGCACACCGTGCCTACCCCGACAATAAGTTTCTCCCTGTGGTTTCCTTAGCACTTACTACTCAAGCAGTGCACTGTAGGTTTTACTGCGTACTTCCTCTGTTCCAGGTTACTGCCGACATTTACATTGAATTGACACAGACAATCGGGCCCTCACTCAATTTGGTGAATGATACTAAGATTGGTTTAAAATCAGCGCTTAAAACAATTGTAAACCAATGAAATATCATAAATATTGGATATTGAGAGAAATCGACGAATTACAGCCAATGAAATGTAAAAGTTCGCCAGTAATTTGGAACATGCGAATTTTGACATTTCGGTAGTAAAGTAACAGTAACCTGGAACAGAGGAAGTACAAGCGTTTTACAGTGTACGACTATTCCTCCTACTTCTGTCGAAATAGCCAGGTGGAATTTGCGTAGTGAACTTCGTGTGAAACGATAAGTGAATCTTTTCCTGTGACCTACCAGCGAAAAATTCTTTTCAGGTAGAGAGAATTTCCATTATATCATGGGATGTTTGTGTCGTACTGCTTATAACGCGAATCTGCGTCCATGGTATCCTTCGTCGGATAATCAATCAAAACTATCAGCATGCTGTTAGTCGGGAATTTATATCAAATGGCAAAAGTCTGTCTGGCACTGATGTCGTTTGATTAGGCAAGAATGAATTGAAAGCTAAGGCTACGGCCAAGCCAGCGAGCGTAAACTTGAATGTGATGGAACCTACCGGGATGGAGCCAAATAGCATAGCCCAATCAGGAGTGCTATGGAACACACCAAAGTGTTGGCCAAGGGAAAGGCCAAAGGAAAGGTAAATAACAATTCAACAAAGGAGAATGCGAAGCTGAAGGCACCACCCCGGATCACCGCGACAGTGCAGCACACTACCGCAGACGGTGAACAATCTCTGCCCGATGCGGGGAGAGTAACCCAGCTCGAGTTGTTGCAACGAATTAAGTTTGCGTATCCAAGCGATTCGGAGGACGAAACCAAGGATGACCTCGATGTGGCCAACCAGCTTATTCAGACCTACATTTCTATGTATGGGATGGGTGGGGTTGAAACGTATTCACGCCGTTACGTACCACAAGCGCAACCCACGGCGGATATGGTGTTGCATCAAACACCAAAGCGTTTGGCCTCGGGGCCGGAGTCCGGGACTACGTCAGCTAAACGTCCGAAAACGCAGTGGGTGAGCAACGCAACGTATCGTGGAGAGGACAAGGAAACCGTTTTGAATCGTCAACGTTACTGTCGGGATCAAGTTCGCATTGCGAAAGCAAAATCGGCGGCGGCAGCTTCGAAGAAGGAGTACCGGCAAACCAAGCGAGTGAAGAAATGTCAAACTCACCCAGCTGATGAACGACCGTTGGTGGAAGACTTCTTGAAGGAGTTTGTTCCCGTTCAGCCCCCGATCATACCAGAAGGCCCTGCGATGAGCCGTGAAGAGATGGCTGCTTTGGACATTGAGCTCAACCCGCGTTCATTTCAGCCATTGGACGATCCGGAGGCACTTCAAGATGAAATTAATTTCGTCGAGGGAGTGCTCGACGACATCGACCTTCATCCCACGCTCGAGCCGTATCCTTTTCAACCACTCGAAGAATCTACGGCCATTCATCGGGAGATTCAATTCATCGAGGAGGCCCTCCACGACATCGACCTTGGCGAAGATCCACCGTTCCTTCCTCAAGATCCCGTTCAAGATGCGATTCAAGTGCGGCCTCCACGCTGAAACCCTGTGAATTACGTCGGACGGCAATCGTACGAAGTGTTTGAGGAAGGTGGTCGCACGTGGCTGCAAGTTCCTGGGAAAACGAAGACATGCCCGCACTACCGAGCAAAGTTGACACCCCACGACTACAAGAACCTGCCCTGTTGTTTGAAGGGCAAGGTCAATATGGATCGTTACGTTTTCCCCGACTCGCCAGAAATGCAAGCGTTCAAAGATCTCTTCAAGCAGCGCAACTTCATCGAGCACATCCGTCAGTACAACGCTCGGTTCAACTTCACTTCCATTGGAACCAACGAGGTCAAGCACAGTGGCAGCGGTCCCAAGACGTATTGCATTCAAGGCCAGCTGACCCACAACATTAGTGCGTTGCAGCCCAGCCTTAACAGAAATGGAAAGCTGCGACAGCCAAGTTTTGCCCAAATCTACATTCACACCAGCGAGGAGCAACTTCAACACCGACGAAACATGTTTCCGGCGTTCAGTTCGCGGTACACTGTCACGATACAGTGAGTGATGGATCTCCACAACCCATTGGCGAGAAGTATGCCACTGCCAAAGAACGTTTGCGTCGAGCGGAAGCGGACGGGACATCGGGGGCAATCTTCAAATTGTCCTGAAGGCCGTTGGTGGCGCGCAGGCTCGAACGCACAACTTGCCTACCGTGGCTCAGCTTGCGGTAATCATGGAGGGAGACGGCAGCGAACCCACAGAAGGCCGTCATGTGGTTCTGCAAAGTCTGAACTCGAACCGGTTCACAACCATTCGAGAAACGAATCCATTTCACGACGCGTTGCAGTTTCCTCTCCTGTTTCCAATGGGAGGTTCTGGATGGGAGTACACCATGACGAAGACCGACGGGAAATCATTGTCTCTCCATGCGTTCTTCAACTACTGGCTTCAAGAACGAGACGGCGACGACTTCTCCGACATGCTGCACCGATCCTCCATGCTGTTCAAGATGTACACTACGGTCGGCTTCGTTTGCGTGGAAACCAACAGGCTGCGCTACATTTCGCAGAACGGAGACAAGTTGCGATTCGATTTGTACGCAAGCGTAAAGGAGGCCGCCGAGAGACGTTCAGGGCTCCACAACGTCTGCATCAAGTCCATCGTGCCTTCAAGCTTTACTGGCAGCATGCGTTACATGAAGAAATGTTACTTCAGCGCCATGGCAATTGTGCGCAAGTACGAGAAGCTATGTCTCTTCGTCACCATGACGTGCAACCCCAATTGGCCGGAGATCATCAGCCAACTCAAGCCCCATCAAACGTCAGCTGAACGCGATGACATTGTCACATGTGTGTTTGAGTCGAAGCTAACGTATTTCGAGGACGACATCCACAAGAAACACGTCCTTGGCAAGGTTGTCGCATCCGTGCGTGTTGAAGAGTTTCAAAAGCGTGGCTTGCCGCATGTGCACATGCTCCTCATCATGGAAGACCAAGACAAGCTCAGGACCGTCGATGACATCAACTCTGTGGTATCCGCGCGCATACCAGACGAGATCAAGAACCCCAGCTACACAAGTCAGAGAAGTACTTCATGACCCATACGTACATGCATGTGCAATACGACGACAATGGACAGCCGATTCCAAGTGCGAGGGCTTGCACCGACAAGACTGGCAAGTGCAAGAAAGGCTTTCCGCAGCCCCTGCAAGCTACCACAACCGAGGGGGTCGATGGGTATGCCAAGTACCGTCGCGACATGGCCGCAGACCAGTACTATGTACCACACAACCCGTACTTGGTGCACAAGTACAACTGCCACATCAACGTCGAGGTTTGCACAAGCATCAAGGCCGTTGTACAAGTACGTGTGGAAGGGCAGCGATCGGATCACGTACGCTGTCTTCACCGACCGAGAACGCCAGCCCATTCTTGACGAAGCATGGGAGTACGTTGAAGGACGCTACGTGACCTTCCTCGAAGCTATCACACGCATTCGCTGCTACGACCTGCAAAGGATGTCCCACGCTGTCGAAGTATTGCCCGTGCACGAGAAAGATCAACAGCATTGCACCTACGACGAAACCCACGACGCAGAAGCGGTCGTTGCCAGGAACCAAAAGACCAAGTTGATCTCCTTCTTCCTCGCTTGCGCGCAAGGCTTGACCGGGATCGACGGCGTTCCTGCAAAAAGCTGCCTGTACTAGGACTTCCCGCAGTACTTCCGATTTGACCAAAAGACCAAGTTGTGGGTTGGACGCAAGAACCACATCAAGGTCATTGGCCACATTGATTCGGTCCGTCCGCGTCAAAAGGAGCGGTTCTACATTCGAACCCTGCTTTGCCATAAGTATGGACCAACTTCCTTCGAAGTTCTGCGCACAGTTCACGGAACTCTGTATCCAACGTACGAAGAAGCTGCACTGTCCATGGGCCTGTTGAAAAACGACAAAGAGTATGTGGTATGTATTCGACAAGCCACGTTGGACTGCATGGACGGACAGCTGCACGAACTGTTTGCCAACATCTTGGTGCATTGCCTGCCAGCGAACACGCGAGCTCTGTTCGACCAATTCAAAGCAGATTTCATGGACAAGCGGCTTCGGGACCTGCGCCGCTGCAACGAAGCACTCCCATAGCCGCTCAGTGAAGACATGATGCTTGGCAAGGCGATGTTCTACACACTCAAGAGCATCGACAACTGCTTCCAACACCATCGGATGAGCCTTTTGGACTACCCGACGTTACCTCAACTCCACGAATTCGAAGTATTTCGAGACATGGACGAACGGCAACTACTGAACGATCCAAGAAGTCGGCATTATGTCATTGTAACGTCGTACACGCGTGCAGCCCTCGACGACGTGTTGGCCACTGCTGCGACCATGACTGACGAGCACAGGTCCTTTGTGGCCACCGTTTTGGCCCAAATATACGATCACGCATCAGGCAAGGCGTATTTCCTCCAAGGCGAAGGAAGCTCAGGAAAGTCGTACCTCTCTCAAATCCTATTAGCAAAAGTGCGTGGCAAAGGGGGCATCACGCTTGCTGTGGTATCGTCTGGGCTGGCAGCTTTGCTGCTTATGGGCGGCACAACGGCACATTCGCGATTCAAAATCCCCGTCACCAACATCAACGACCAGTCCCAATGCCACATTCTGAAGCAGTCGTCATTGGCAAAGATCATTCGAGACACCAAGCTTATTGTACGGGACGAGGTCTCAATGATCCACAAGCATTCTTTGGAAGCCGTCGACCGCTCCCTTCGCGACATCATGGACAACCCCACAGCCCTCTTTGGCGGCAAGGTTGTTGTTTTCTCGGGCGATTTCAAGCAAATCCTGCCAAGCATTCCACGCGGCAAACCATCGGCCACTGGAGGCCTCCTTCAGATGCAGCAGCATCTGGAACGACGTGAAAATTGTCAAGCTGACAAAGAACATGCGTGCGGCTGCGTGGTGGATCAGACGACGCAAGTATCGAGGAATGGGTTAAGACGTTAGTTGACATTGCAAACGGAACGTATCCAGAACAAGACATCTACGGCTCTCCCATGATCCGACTGCCGGATGCAATTGCCAGGAACTGGAAACCGACCAAGACCTGAACGCGTACATCGACCAAATCTATGGCGACATCAATAACCCGGCCAACCCCCCGGAGTACATGTCTGAACGAGCGATTTTGGCACCCAAGAACGTCGGGGTCGATGAATACAGTACAACGCCAAAGTGCTGCGCAAGATGAACAGTTCTGCCATGTTCACTTGCCTCTCAGCCGATTCAGTCGAGCAAGAAGGCGAGGATGTTGACGACACGGCCATGGAATTTCCCTCCGAGTTCCTGAATTCCATCAACATATGCGGCTTGCCACCGCACAAGCTCGAGTTCAAGGTGGGATGTCCAGTCATGCTTTTGCCCAACATTTGCCCCTCCCAGGGCCTATGCAACGGGACAAGATTGGGGTTTGTCAAAGTGTCAACCAAGTGCATCGAGGCAACTATCATGGGCGGCGCATTTGACAACAAGCGAGTCTTCGTACCGCGCATCACCTTGGTCGACGAGGGCAGCCAATCCAACCTCCCTTTCAAGTTGAAGCGACGCCAGTTTCCAGTGAAGTTGGCATTTGCTATGACCATCAACATGTCTCAGGGCCAAACGTTTAGTCGCGTGGGACTTATCTTGCCAAGCCCGGTGTTCTCTCACGGACAACTGTATGTTGCACTGTCTCGACCAAAACCAAGGCTGGGATATCTGTGTTAGTGCGGGACGGCAAGTTCCCCGGATTCGAAGGAATCTACACCCAGAACGTCGTGCACCGCTCCATTTTTGCCAACGACGAAAACTAAATACTCCATAACACGGACTTCATTCTTTCTAAATATCGTGCACACATCCATTCACATGACGATCATGGGCACAACCTGCTTTTTGCAGCAATAAACGATTCTGCATCATACGTACCATGCCGATTTCCGCTATCGTATCATCAACCATCATAGCAAATATAGGAAACCCAAGCTATTTTCAATAGACGGACGTGTTGTTCGTCACGTTGTTCAACACAAATATGTACAGATCCGAAACCCTTGCTGTACTCAACGAAGCAAATCATCCTGCACATCAAGTTTCTACGGCATTGTTTTTCCTCATGTGATGCCACACAACACGGACACGGGATAGTTCGAAAACACTGCTACTTGAATGACGAACTCCTTCCGAAGTGTATACGTAAGTACTGTTCACCACATCCAACACAGCGGTCGTGCCTGCAAGATGGATTGACAGTACCCTGACCAACATATCACGAGTCAATCTGCGGAGCTATTGGAGTGACCGAAAGATGGCGCCGACTGTGTTCTGACCAACATGTCACGAGATAATTAGCGATGCGATTGAACATACCCACAAGGTGGCACCGACATGCATTCTGGCATACACGTCGCGTGTCAAACGGCGGCGCCATTGGATATTTCTGAGAGGTGGAACTAACTGCTTTCAAGTCAACACGCCACGCGTCAAAGATCATAGCGTTGGTGAGGTTAGATGCACGGCTTAGTCTTAGCATAGCTGCAAGGTTTATACCGCAGCCTGTACTATTTCAGTGGACCACACCGCAAAAGGACTGATTCCCATCTTCTCGCAAAATACTGGACCCCGTTGTACCGCAGATGGACAGTTTTGACAACGCATACTACAAACAGAAAATGTCTGAAAACTATGCCAGGCTCAACTATGACAACAACAATAAGCAGGAACAAAAACTACATATCTTGCTCCAACCGGCAATTAACACCGGCGGCAGAGCAACGGGCTCGCCTAGTATGTCCGTATAGCCAAGATTCTACTCTTTTCATTGGTTCAAATTTCACACAAATCCAATGATTGGTCATAAAACCACTATGTGGCAAACATCAAACGTGTCAGTGATTTGGGACGGAGTGGTATGTCGTAATACAGTATAAGGACACGACCGCATACTGTATTATTATGTCTTCCACAGCAAATGTTTTAATTGCTCTGCACCCCATCGTTGTGGTGGTGCCTGCCATGACGAAGACCCCGACACGACAAACCATGTCTTCCTCATGTCAAGAGTCGTGGCGGGTGTCGTGGTGTCGTCTCGATCTGAGAGTGTTTTATTCAGACGTACGCGCTCATAATTGCCAAGTGATATTACAGTCATGACGTTACGAGCTATTCGAATGACCATTTCTAACAAGTATGTGAACGAGAAATACTACTACCCCTCGCAGGACCAGCATCAGCTTGGATTCGTGGTAGCAGCTTACGCTGCGGTGGCAGGCGATGTCGCTCGAGAGCATGCGCGGAGGGAGCACAAACGATTGGTTGATTTCTCAGCACCCTTGCTGCTCATCGTCCGTCTCCTGGATGTCACCATCCGTGACGCGGCTGGCATGCTCAGACCCGGCCAAGTCGACAAACACGACGGCAAAACGCGGTCGCTCACGAGCTCCATCTAGATGAGGGCATGCTACCGGCTGCTCGCACGGTAGACGTTCGAATTGCCCGTCACCCGACTCAACGTATTCATTCTCAGTCAATTATGTTTGAAGAATCGAAGGTTATAACTTGCTTGTTATACGTCGTTGTCACACACAATCTACGTACTACCGGTAGTACTCGGTACGAAATACGTGGATTGGTGGCGGCTGGTGAGACATCCATCGCCGCGTTCTTCAACTTCATGATTGCGTGCTTCATGGACACCGTGGTCAGACGTTGGCAAGTTGGTCGGTGGTACCGACGTGACGGACTTCGGTGATACTGTCGTCGATGAGTTGGCGGACGTAGTGGAGGCGCACGTCGATGTGCTTGCTCCGTTCGCTTACGCTGCTGCTTTCCGCCGTTGCGATGGCGGACTTGTTGTCGCACAAGGTAAGGGTTGGCATGTCTTGAAGTACTCCCATGTCGTGTAGTAATCCTCGTAGCCAAACGACTTCCTTGGAGGGCGATGTACTCGGACTGGCATGTCGTCAGCGCGACGATGCGCTGGCGTGCGGACTTCCACGAGAAACGGCGCCTGCGCCAACGAAGCAGACATAACCACCTGACGACCATTGATGGGCCAACTTATTTCAACCAATTAAAAACTCCAATGAACTCTGATTGGACAAAAGGCAACCTCTCGACAAATGCAACCTGCATGAACAAATGGTCGAGCACCCATCCTACCGAGGCAGTACGAAGAAGATCTGGCTACTTGGATTGTCGGCATGGAGCGCGATGGGAAGCCTGTCGGCTATCGTGAAATCGTACAGAAAGCAAACGAGATTCTTGATGTCGTGCATGATACAACGAACGGAACGAACCTCACAAGCGGATGGTACAAACGATTCCTCCAACGACACCCTGATCTGGAGACCCTGACACAGCGACGTTTGGCGCCGACGTGATGCAGCTCGCGTGAGTCGTGGAGATGGCGTGACAGCGGCGCACAGCGTGTGCGATGTCGGGCCGGGTGCACACCATCAGGTACATCGATGATCCTACCATTGAGCGGTAAGTTGACTCATCTGCTGCTGGTTGTGACTCGTCGTGCCGTAGGTATTCGCGGTCATCGACTTCGGGCGTGTTGTAGCTATGGCAGTCGGTCATGCCAAAGCGTTCGAGGAATTTGCGTGCGGATGCCTGTTGATTCATGGCGAGGGACTACGTCTCCTTGTTGTAGTTTATCTTGATGCCCAAGAAGTAGGATGCATCTCCTTGACGCTTCAGCTTCATCTTCGTCTCGAGTTCGTCGAGAATAATGTAGGCCATTGTGGCTGTCTTGGCCATCACGAGAAAGTCGTCACCATAGGTACAGGGTTCTCCCCTGACTCTCCCAAGTAGAGGCATGGGTCGAATTGGTTTGGGTAGAAGCCAAGGCAAAGGAGGATTTTGCGGCAGTGCTCGAACCAGGCCAGGGCGGCTTGCTTGAGGCCGTACAGCGCCTTGATTAGCAGCATCTTACGCTTGGTGCCATCGCCGAATCCGGGTGGCTGGTCTACTTAAAGCAGGACACCGTCTTCCATCAGTGCCTGGACGAAGGCGGTATCGGTGTCGCCCTGGAGGATCACGATATGATCAGTTTCTAATACTTTCTGAAAAATCATCCCTTAAAAACGACTACAGCGGCGCAGGTGCGAATTGTGGCCATCTTGACCACCAGTGAGTACGTTTTTGTGTAGTCGATGCCTTCGACTTGATTGTAACCCTTGCACACTAGGCGTGCCTTGTATCGAACAACGTCGCCGTTGGAGTTGGTCTTCTTGGCGTATGTCCAGCGGGAGCCGATAGACTTGCGTCGGACAGGCAGGTCGGCGATCTTCCATTCCCTGCGTCTCGGAGCTGCTTGAGCTCGAGCAGTTCGGCCTTGATCTATTCGTCGCGCTCGTTGGACGACATGGCTTCCTTGAGACTCTGGGGTACGTCATCAACGGCAGGTATGGCTGAGAATGCGAAGTCCACGCCTTCGATGGCCATCGAAGTAGATTCGTTGTCTTGCTCCATGGCGGCGTTGGCTGTGTCCCGAGTGGCGCGGTTCAAATCGTCGAGGTCGCGGTCAACCGAGTTGTTGGGTTGCCGAGGTTCGTCGATGAATCTCGTCCTGATCGTGTTTCTGTCACGTAGGGTCATCCTGTTGGTGCTCGCGGGTGCGTTGAAGTCGTCCATCGTCATCAGCTGCTTATTGGGTCTGGTGATGGCACGAAGGTAAGCGTTGACCTTCCTGGTGTGCCCAATTCGGATCTATTGAAGATTAACCTCGTTCGGTAGAGGTCGTCTGAGATCCGCCGTGGCAGTGGCGGTGGTGGCACCTTGAAGTGACTTCGCTTATCTGGCAACGCTGTGGCCGCGCTTGTTGAAGGCGCCCGTGTATGGTGTCGACGCGGATGCAGTGGCTCTGCGAGCGGACGTCTCCCCTTGAGTGAGCCCTCTTCATCGTCGTCGATGTCGTCATCGACTGTGACTAGGTACTTGTCGATTGGTGTGCGTTCGCTAAGGAACTCGTTCTCGTGAAACTGGACTTGCACCCTGGTAACCACCTTCTTTTGATCCAAGTCGTACAGCTTGTATGCCTTTTGGTGTCATACATACCCCATCATGATGCACTTGGTGGCCTTCGAGCCGAGTTAGTTCCTTTTTACTGGTTCATTTGCCATGGTGTAGGCAACGCAGCCGAACACACGAAGCTTGTCCAGGCTGGCCTTGTGGCCGGTGAAGGCTTGTATCGGGGTCGTCGTGGAGTTGGAGCGATGTGGCACGCGGTGTGGCACGCGTATCCTCCGCGGCAAATGCTGCAGCCGTCGAGGCAAGCGCGAGAATGGCAATGGTCTTCATTAAGCAATTTCAATAATGAGAGCAAGGTTTGCCGGGGCTCGTGTGTAGGGGGGCGGCGTGGGTTTCTTTTGCATCCACATTGGGGCACAACTATATAGTACTGTGTGTACGTCATTAGAATTGCCGATTTGATACGCTTGCTGGATTCTGTTTAAACTTCAGCTGACTATGGTATACTAGTACTACTGTAGTAAAAAGAATAGTACGATGCAGAAGCAATTATGGAAATCACACCATGCTCAGAAATGATGGGACGGCCAATCACACTGGAGTCAGCAACTTGGTCATCGAGAAATGCATAACGTTACTACCGGTACCTGTGTCCTGAATTGTATCTTGAAGTTCCGTAGCGATTGCTACAAGTACTGTACCACATTAGCCATTTGGCGTCGTTCCATCCACATGGGGTAAGGAATGCGAGTGTGCAATCATCAGCGGTAGTCGCAGTTATACTGTAGTATTTGAGCACGAAGCCACGAACTCCCACGTCTTGCAATGCACCACTGCATTCCATTATCTTGTTTATCTTGAAAGTCATCCACATGTTTGCCCTCCAACACTTCAAAGCGACCACTGTCGCCAGACAATACTTGTATGGAGGATGGGACATGCGGAAAGTAACAACTCAATGTAAATGACTGGTTCAAATTACTTGAGCCAAAACGATACTACTGTAGTACTAGTAGTACTTGACGCAGTGAATTTTATTTACAGTTAACAGTACGAGTGTAAACTAGATGAGCCCGTTGATCTGCTCCCGGAGTTAATTGTCGGTTGGAGCAGCAAGTTACTACCTCTTTGTCGTCGTAGTTGAGCCTCGCATAGTTTTCAGACATATTCTGTATGTAGTATGAGTTTGTAGTACTGTGCAGTATGCGTTTCTAAAACTCTCCTATCTGCGGTTGAACCGAGTTAGGTATTTTGAAGATGGGAATCAGTGCATGTGCTGTGGGGTCCAGTGGAAGTACTGTAGGAAGAGTGTAAATATGTTATATCACAAAGCTACTTCTGCACACAAAATTCAAATACACATGCAGAGTTGCACTGACCGAATTTCTCCCCAAATCACTGCACCGTCCCACTGAATACACATGGTGCTTCTTGCCACACCGAAGTTGGCAGCCACACCAGGATAGGTAACCATGCATAGACCTCCTGACGTATGAAAACCGTTCAAGAAATCTGAATACCGACCAACGCAGACTGAAAACCGTTCAAGCACTTTGGCAACTGTTAACCAGCTGTCCAACAGATGGGATGATGAGATGGGGCTGTGCAGTTCCTTATGAGTACAAATACTTCATATATCCTGACAAAGGTAATCCTTCTACATGAAAAATCAGCTTGTGGAGAATAGTGATGCCATGTGGTAATTAACATGTCAAGTATATATTGCTGTGTTTATCACAATATAACTGGAATCTACAGCTCAAAGGTTAGTGCATCAGTGTTTCAACCCAAGGGTCCCAAGGCGATCACCTGGATTTTTGTTTCCGAGTACCCCTAGTACTATTTTTCAATTAATGTTAGAAGCGGTTCTTTGGAACATGCCTGGGTTTCCTGTTCACAAGTTTAGACTATAGCTACTAGTACATGCTTGTCAAGGGACACTGACAGTTGCGTGCGATGTGGACCTTGGTTGGTAGTATTGCTGCATGCGTGGACGTATTGTGAGGAGTAGTGGCCTTCTCAGGTGCGTGAGTGATGCTTGGTGGAGTACTATGTAGTAGGTGAATTTTTAGGCGTCCCACCTAGTGGTGTTGCGTGGACATTGTGTTGTGTTGAATATGACGAGCATCGCAGGCGTGTGGACGAAAGCCCGTTGTGCGAGAGGTGTACGGGGTGTTGCGTGAAGAATAGCGGATTGTATGGTGGAGTTGGTTGATGGTGTGGTAAACACCAACCAACACCACCATGAGGTAATATTTCCGTCACAACGAAATTAGATTCACACACAACCGATATGTCTACAGTAACCGCTCACGTCATTATGACTACCTCGTAGTGTTAATGGTTATAATTGCAGCGATGTGCAACCCCTGCATGGTTTACACCCTGCACGGCCCTTCGGTACCCTCCACAATAATTCTATACCATGCCATTTGCTTCCAGGGCAGCCACATGGCTGCGCATGTACTCCACA